CAACTCTACAAACATCTCTAGCTTGATTTCCAACTGAGCAACCATTCCAAGCCTCTATCGCACTCTTCGTGGACATTGGCATGACACACTACATCGTGAAGATGGAACAAAGAAAGGCCCAGCCTCTAAAAATTGTCGATTGTAAATATCCTTCACAGAGATGTCGTCCACCCAAAGAAAGCCACCTTCAGCGGAGCGGAGCTTTGGTGCGCCAAATAGCCTTCCATTGAAAAGAAGCCCCTGATCATTCATCAATCAACTATAAAAAGACAGCTCCTCAAACCTCCGGTGGCTAGTGCCTGACCAAGTCCACTCATCCATCCCCTCCCCGCACACACACTGATAATAAAACAACGATAAGAACACCACATCCTCCAGCTCCCAATCCTGCAAAGACATCTCAAACTTCTCAAACAGTACATCCTACGACAATCCACCACTATCAAGATGATAGCAATCAGCAACCGTCGCCAGCCTATCCATAGCAATATGAAATAGTCTAGGATAGACAACCTCCAGAGGTCTGTTGGCACACCACAGATGATCTATACCAAAGACTTCAATCATCTCTCTCATGAACGGGGCTCAATTTAAGGAGGGTACAGAATCTGAGTTGTGGCAGGCTATCTAGTCCTTGGGGCTTTTTAAGGCTTCTGGACCAGACGGGTTCACTCCCAAGTTTTTCCAATCAAACTCCCCTTCCCTAATCTCGCCTTTTTCTATTTTCTAATCTCGCAATGGAAAATATATATATATATATATATATATTTCAATTGTTGGAAAACCTAACCAATATCAGGGGACCTATCAGATCAACATCAACCTGACTTCAAAATAAGCTACAGAAGGATACGTCAAAGTGAAATCCAGTTGACAAGTAAATTCTTGTTACATCTAATCCGTCTGTTCCCTCTCTCTGATCTACACCTGATACTTCCATCATCTCTCTCTCTCTCCTTCAGTGATTTCACCTCTCTATCTCCGCTCTAATCTCCAATAGGAAAAAATATATATAAACTCCCCTTGTTGGAAACCTAACCAATTTGTGCAGCTACTTTATCATATCAAACTGACTTAAAAATAAGCTACAAAAGGATACATCAAATTGAACTCCAGTTGGCAATTAAATGCTTGTAGCATAATCCCTTCCCTCTCTCTGATCTGCACCAGATACTATCATCTCTCTCTTTCTCTCTCTCCCCCCTCCCCTTCCTTGATGTCACTTCTCTCTCCCTCCCTCCCTCTCTCTCTCTCTCTCTCTCTCAATGAGAAAATATATATAAATTTCAATTGTTGGAAAACAACCAATATGAGAGGACATAACAGAAAAAGCTAATTACAGAATAAGCTACAAAAGGATACATCCAGTTGGCAAAGTCAGATTAGTTGAATTCTCAGGTTCAAATTGAGTTGAATAATGAGCTTGCCATGCTGTGACAATTTGTAACCTTGCACAAACCTGGTAATGATATGATATTTTGAACCATGTTAATCATTGACCTTCTGTTACTAGGGATTGCTGTAATACATTAACATGCCTTACTTGGATTAAATTCGGGGATTAGATATATAAAAATAAAAACATGATATCTGTGAATGTCTTTATCCCTTGCCATGCACTTTAGGCCACCAAAACATGATATGCATGGTTCAATTGCATTTGCTTTAGCACTAAGCTTGAGCCCTAAAAGTGAACTACTTTTTTTTTTCCTTTTTTTTGATAAGTAAAAATAACATTAAAAAAGGCGTTCAAGAGGGGAACATGTCCCAATTACAAAAGTGGAACCGGGACTAAAGCCCCAAAGAATCCAAGAAAGTAATTAAATCATCAGAAGAGGGACAAAAACTCCTCTTCACATAATTGAAAAGAGAACGAAGAATGTAAAGTTTAACCATTGCCGTAGGCGACTCTTTCCCTTCGAACATTCTACTATTTCGCTACTTCCAAATGCACCACCACACACAATGTGGTACAATTCTCCAGAAATCGCGAAAATCTCTTCTCACTCGACATCCTCTCCAAACATGGATTAATTCCTTAGTAGATCGAGGCATGACCCAACAAATGCCAAACAACCCAACAATAAGATTCCAACGGTCGTTCACCACAGGGCAATGCAAAAGGAGGTGATCAACGGACTCCTCATCATTCTTGCATAGACAACACGATTAACAATACAATTGCCCCTTTTCCTCAAGTTATCAATTGTCATAATCTTTCTCCACACAGCGCTCCAGAAAAAGAAAGCCACCCTAGTTGGAGCCATGGACCACCAAATAGCTTTCCACAGGAAGTCTCGATTAACAAAATTGGACAAACATAAGAACAAGGATCTAACTTCGAAACGACCGTGGGAAGAAGGAACCCAAATCAAAGCGTCATTATCTCTGCCAACACCCTCCTGCCGATACAGAAGATCCAGAAAAACACATACCTCGTCCATCTCCCAATCCTGAAAAGAGCGCCGAAAATGCACATCCCACGTAATCTCGTTGCTATCAAGCCGATAACAGTCAATTACGTAAACGTGTTTATCAACAGCAATACTGAATAATCTAGGGAATGTATGAGAAAGTGGCTGATCACCACACCAAAAATCTTCCCAAAACCGAATTCGACATCCATCACTGACTTTGAATCTGATATGAGCAGAAAAAGCATCCCGACCCTTCCGAATAGCCTTCCACATCCCTACTCCTCACACAAGGGTAACCGGACGTGTAGACCAACCTCCAGCCTCTTCCCCAAACCGACAAGAGACTAACCTGCGCCATGGACGATGTTTTTCCCTCCCAAATCTCCATAACCATTTACCCAGGAGAGCTTGATTGAAAGGAACTAAACGTCTTATTCCAAGTCCACCCAATTTCACAGGCTTACAAACTTCCTCCCATCTGACAAGGTGTACTTGAACTCATCACCATTTCCTCCCCATAGGAAATCCCTTTGAATTTTTTCAATCCTATCTGCAACGGAACAAGGGATTTGGAACATAGAAAGAAAATAAGTGGGAAGGCTCGATAACGTACTCTTTATAAGAGTAATTTTACCCCCCTTTGATAAGTATTGCTTCTTCCATCCTGCCAATCTCTTCGCATACCTGTCAATCACGGAATCCCAACTCCCCACTAATCTTAAAGAGACTCCTAAGGGCAAGCCCAAATAAGGAATAAGGAAAGAACTCACCCTGCATCCAAGGATTGCAGCTAAAGAGGAAATATCCTAAACATTCCCTACTGGGACAAGCACACTCTTAGCCACATTGACCTTTAGCCCGAAAACTGCCTGAAAACAAGTTAATATACACCTCAAGTATCGAAATTGAGACACATCAACATCACAAAAAACCAGGGTATCATTTACAAAGAGTAAATGAGAAATCTCCATCTGATGGGCTAAATCTCTGCCCACCCTGAATCCCTTAATAAAACCAATGTCCTCTGCCCTGCGCATAAGTCTGCTTAACCCCTCCATAACAACAAGAAAAAGGAAAGATGACAAAGGATCTCCATGTCTTATACCCCGAGAGCAGCCAAAGAAACCAGCGGGAGAACCATTCACAAGAATTGAAAACTTGACAAACGAAAGACAAGTCTCAATCCACTTCCTCCATCCCATTCTTTGTAACAAATAGAGTAGGAAATTCCAGTTCATTAAAGGCAACTCAAGAGGGGAGAGCTCCCAAAAGAAAACACAAAAGCCAACTACAATTTTAGACTCTCAACAAAATCCACAAGATCCCCCACCAATTTACAATTCCTCCATTAATCCAAAAGAATAAAGAACTCAGTATGACGTGTTTTAGAGACCAAAAAAGAGTCTCCTCTCCATAAAAGGATCTCCTATTTCTTTGTCGCCACAAGCCCCACCATAAACAAAGGGGAGTTGCCTTCCAAGCATCTCTGGCTCAGCTATCCACTGTACACCCTCTCCAAGCCTCAATTGTGTCCACCATAGAACCACGAGACACCCAATGCATACCAAACATCACTAAAAACAGAGCCCACACATCCCTCGCCACTGGGCAATGCAAAAGAAGATGATTCAAGGACTCCTCTGCCCTCTTCCACATACAACACCGGTTCACCACAATCTGCCACCTCCTCCCCTCCTAAGATTGTCTAAGGTAAGCATTCCCCCAAGAACAGCTGACCATGCAAAAAAGCCATCTTGAGGTAAGCTTTCAATCTCCAAATGGCCTTCCAGTAGTGGTGACTTACTACTCGGATCAACTCAATAAAACCTTATACTAGGTCATTCATTTATTATTGAAGTTCCGCTAGAAACAACGCATTTATGTTAATTTTCTAATGTTTATGAACATCTAAACAAGTGCGATATCCACCAGTATTGTCACACTAGAATCTCAGATATCATTAAAATCAAGTAACTGACAAAATTTCCCTAAAAAATCTAAAGATTAGAGTACCGCTCCCCCACTTCTGCCTAAAGACATTGTCAGAGAGAAACTCCCCCAACCATACAAATTCACAATAGAACTATGGACGGTTTCCGTTATTCTACAGCAACAGAAGACCAAATTATCTTGCTATTGGAACACAATTAAAGCAGAACAGCAACATTAAACTGTAATGAATTTAGTCCTTCATAGTTCACTTCTGCATTACAGAAAGCCAATCATTTGATGATCATTCTGGATTTATGATAATTTAATAATTTTTAAGACAATTCCTAGCACTCTTATACGAAAACTCATTACATACATCACTGCAACAAGGGAAGGAATTATAAAACTACAAATGAAAAAGTAGAATTATCCCCAGAATAAAAAATCAGCAACATTCAGCCAGACAAATTCAATATCAAGAATTCAAACTTTCTGCATAATCAAGGTATCAAAGTCTCATTTTTTATTTGCAAAAGGCCAAAAACACAAGGAGCCTCGTGAATGACGACATAATTAAGCACTTGCAAAGAACCAAGGGAGAAATTTTTTGAACAAAAGCATGGATAAACTAAGGCATTTGAAAGAACTCACTCAAACACAACATCCCACATAGCCTTGTACTTCACATCCAAAGATCTGATCTCAGCCTGTTTCTTGTACCAGTCACGGTCAACAATGGCGAGCTTCAACTCCTCAATGCCTGGACAAAATTTACATAGGCAGAAAAAGAAAAATTATTATTCAGTATGTAAATCAAATCAACACACTGAATAAGTAAAAACAGACAACAACTAATATATCAAGGCACCACAGGATATTCCTGGCATGATAGAGAGACAGGAGAAGGGGGGGAGGGGGAGGGGGTGTATAAAAACCATCAGGCTAAAAGTATAGACCCCCAAAATGAAGTCAAATGCAACATCGAACAAATGATATATTTCAAATATCAGGACTCCACCACACCATCTTAATGCCAAAGGAGCAAATAACTCCATATAACAGCAGAGATAACATAATATATCAAATTTTGAATATAAAAAATTACCTCATTTGCATACTAACAATAGCTGATTGACAAGATTTATTTCACAAAAACGACCATGTCGCAAGTACAAACTCACAAAAAGACATAATACATGTAGGCATGTCAATAACTCCGCGTGCGGGGGGTGTGCGTGTAAATATGTATATGTACACGTATACCTATTATGATTTATCTCACTAACCTGATAACACATGCTTTTAAAACATTTGCCATTCTTTTTTTATATTTTATATTTAACCTCTACTTCGATTTTCTTCACAATTTACTTTTTCTAGGCGTGAAGGAAGAGATGTAGGTCGGGTATGCATTTGATGGAGAATAAGAGAGAATGAAAAAGAAGAGTAGAAGAGAGAAGAACAAGGGGAAGAAATCTTAGAATAAACTCAATTCAATATTCAGTAATCATCAAAAGCTATCCAAGTCGATGTATAAAGTCATGTGCATCTTTTTTTTGTATAATGTCCTATACATGGGCACTAAAATAAAACCCTAATCAAACACTACTACCAAATAAAGTGCTAAAATGAGAACATACGGAAATAACCTTAAATTTAAATATCCCAAAAAATAAATATTTAACCCTAATTTAATCTATCATTGTCCCTTCTCCAAAAGTAGAAGCGAGTCATGCACAACCATGCTTTTGAGCAACATCTTGTTCAGGTTTATCTACTCAACCATTTTACAATCAATTAACAATAAAGAGAATGAAGGAGAAGAAACCAATTGATGTAGGAGAGGGGTAGGGAGAGAACAAGAAAGAGAATGAGGGAGAAGATACAAACAAAAGAAGGAGAAGAAATCTAAAATCACTCGCTTCAATATTCAATAATAATCATCAAAATGTCCCTTTCACAATGTCTGAACCAAAATATAAATAGGCATCAAAGAAAACCCTAATCAAATCCTATTACCATAAATAAAACCCTAAAATACTAAATTATGATTATTATAAGTGCTGCGGAGAACAGTTTTTTCAAGCAAAAGTCTCGTATCCAATGGCTCCAACTTGGTGACAACACTGGTTTTTTCTTCAAGAGGGTCAACCACAGAGCTAGTGTTAACAGGCTTATGTATATCACGAAAGACCATCCACCGATGAGGAGATTTCACTATGATTCATAGAGATATTACAACGGTATCAACACCCTTCACGTGCCTTTTCACCATGTACCGCTCCACAATCCTATCCCCTCGCTACGTGTTTTTCCTACTCTAACAGCCCATAAACTACCTCTACCCATCAACTTGCCCATGAGACCACATCTCTCTCAATATCATAAGTCTCAAGCCATAACATATGTACCTATTTATAGAATTCCAAATCCGATTCCTTGTTGGACAAGAATTACAATCCTTGGAGCTCATGACTTGCCTAACAAGAAATTTCCTAACATAATACAACTCTAAAATAGAAACTTAACTAAACTAAGATTTTGAGAAACAAGTCCCAACAATCTCCACCTTGGCTCAAATTCCATCAAGCCAATCCTAGCTTTCATCGGGACAATTCATTGCAGCTTTAAACTTGCATACAAACCAAATCACTCTTTAGGGATTTCCATCCACTAAACCTAGTCTGATTTAGGGACTTTCACCCAAGGAGTCAGTTCCTCCTTAGTCTGATTCAGGGAATTTCAGCCAAGGATAGTTCCTCCTTTTCCTTTGGATTGCCAGTTCCTCCTGCAAGATGTTACTACTCGAGCTCCATGCCATGTAACCCGTCACAGTTTTCTGACCTTCATGACCAACCAAGCCGATTGACTCTACCTGCAATTGAAACCCGGTGAAGCACCGTTGAGACTCCTTGTGTTTTCTCGATCTCCTTCACCTTCAGCTCTTCGGCTTTGATACCAATTTGTTACGTCAGAAACGCATTAACAATAGGATCCATTGAAAGCCAACAAAGCAATCACAAACAAACACAAGATATAACTAAGTTCGGCCAAAACCATACATCCACATATTAGAGAAGATTCCACTATGATTCATACGGATATTACATCAGTTGAGTACCATTACCCTGCACGTGCCTTTTAACCATATAACACTCCAAGAGCCTATCCCCTCGCTACCAGCGTATTTTTCATACTCTACCAACCGATAAACTACCTCTACCCATCAACTCCCTCATGAGACTGCATATCTATCAATATCACGAGTCTCAACCAATAACTTAGGTACCAAATTCTAGAGTTCCAAACCCAATTCCTGGTTGGACAAGGATTACAATTCCCTGAAGCCCAAGACTTGCCTAATAAGAAATTTCCTATTGTTAACAATCTCATTCCAGTATTGCTAACGAAACAATCACATTCCAATATTCCACTGTTCGAGACATCAAGTGATGAAAATTATTTGATAGGATAAGTCAAAATACAAACACCATTTATTTTAATAAGTAAAAATGTATTAAAAAGCTTTCAAAAGGGGTGTCACATCCCAAGAACTACATAGAAGTCGAAGCCAAAGAAGGAGGACCCAAGGAACCCAAAAAATCAACTATCTCCTCTATAGATAGTTAATATCTCCCCATCCCCCAACAAAAAAGAAAGCTAATAATGCGGAATTTTAACGTCCCTATGGGAGATTCCTCCCTATCCTCCCCATCAAAAGATCTATTGTTCCGCTCCTTCCAAATACACCACCAAACGCAAAAGCGTGCCTCTCCCCGAAAAACACGTGTGGGGGTCCCACACCACACCCTCTCTAAGCATCAATCAAACCTCTCGAAGACCCGAGGCATAACCCAATGCATGCCAAACAAACCAAAAATAAGACTCCAACAATCGTGAGCCACAGGACAATGCAAAAGAAGTTGATCCAGTGACTCCATCCCTCTTACACATGCAACGCCAATTGATCGTAACATGTCTTCACCTTCTCAGGTTATCGAGCATCAAAATCTTAGCCCAAGCTGCAGTCCAAACAAAAAAACTACCTTGAGGGGAGCCTTTGAGCGCCAAACTGTCTTCCAAGAAAAATCAGCCCCGAGAAGCATAGAAGGCAAAATAAGGAACGGACATCAAATCTCCCCTGAGGAGAGGGCACCCAGACAAGGGAATCAGGGCCACCACCATCTGCTGCCTGTGTATACAACAAAGCCAAAATATCAGAAGCGTCATCCAACTCCCAATCATGAAAATGACGCTGAAAGCGCACGTCAAAAATAAGACTCCAACAATCGTGAGTCACAAGGCAATGCAAGAGAAGATGATCCAGTGACTCCATCCCTCTTACACATGCAACACCAATTGATCGTAACATGTCTTCACCTTCTAAGGTTATCCAGCATCAAAATCTTACCCCAAGCTGCAGCCCAAACAAAAAAACCACCTCGAGGGGAGCCTTTGAGCACCAAACTGTCTTCCATGGAAAATCAACCCCTAAGAAATAAGTAATGAACAGCAAATATCCCTAAGGAGAGGGCACCCAGACAAGGGAATCAGAGCCACCACCATCCGGGGCCTGTGTATACAACAGAGCCAGAAAATCAAAAACGTCATCCAACTCCCAATCATGAAAATGATGCTGAAAACGCACATCCTAAGGAATCCTCCCGCTATCAAACCGATAACAGTCGGCAACCCAAGCGTGTCTATCAACAGCAATCCTAAAGGGCCAAGGAAAGGAACATGCTAACGAACACTCCCCACACCGTCAGTCCCCTCAAAACCAAGTGCCCCTGCCGTCCCGAACTCTAAATCTGATATGTTTAGAAAATTCATCCCACTTCCAAATGAACTTCCAAACACAAACACTACTGGCTAATATAACCACACAGGAACACCAACCACCTCTCTCCTCCCCAAAGCGGCAAGAAATGACCCTCCTCCATAATCGATGGTGCTCACCTCCAAATCTCCACAGCCACTTCACTGAGAGAGGCCTATTAAAAGGGACAAACCTCCTAATGCCCAAGCCACCCAATTGAATAAGCCTACACACCTGCTCCCATCATAGTTGATAAAGGCGCACCTAGGCTCCAAAAAAGCCCCAGGTTCGTCAAGGCACAGCTAGAGCTTCTCAACCTACTACAGGTCAGGCCCCTTCAATCAGGCTCACATAAAGCCCTCAGGATCACACTTTTTAGTAGGCTCCGGGCTCAAAAAAGGGGTGCCTTGTATTTTTTAATCATTTATTCATATCATTTTATTTTTTACTTAATGACTACTAAATTAAAAGATTTTACATCATGTATAGAATTGTTTAACATTATGAAATATCTGACAAAATTCATAAAGTTATGGTTCACTACTTACATTAACTGCAATTACTGCTTGATTATGAATATATATAATAATATATGGTTAAATATGCATTATTATATACATGGGCCTTGCTTCAATCAGACTCGCGCCTCGCGCTTAGGCTCTGAGTCGATCGTCTCTGTCTCTCTGAAGCCTTCATCAATCAATTTGGAGTTCTAGCAAGCTTCAAGCCTTCATCCATTCATCGAATCATCATCAATCGATTTGGATTGCAACTAAGGTCAAAAATTTTCTCTTTTTTTGTGTTTATTTTGGGCATTTTTCAAAACTAGGGTTTCAATTCTTGCATTTTTGTTGCAAATTCTTATTCGAATTTTTCTATTGATGCTTGTTTGGCTAATATTGGTCACTAATACACCTTTTCTTCACCGGCTTCATCATCTTCCAGCGAACCAGACCGCGACTTCAGCGAGCTTCATCGTCTTCCCTCTCAGCCTCTCTATCTCAAGTTCTCAACCACCCAACAAGAGCAAATAAACAAATCTAAGGGGAACCAAACCGAACCAATCTTCACAGTTTGGTTCCATGTTCCAACGGTTCCGCCAGGAATCGTACCGAATCAGACCATGTGCACCCCTAATTCTCCATGTGTACACTATCTCCAATGTGTCCACTAATTATATATTCCCTCCGTCCCAATATAAGTGTCCACCTTTCCATATTTAGTTGTCCCAATTCAGAAGTCAATGTACTATATTTTACAACATTCCAAATTTAACCTTCTTGCATTGTACTTATAAAAACAATTAAATGTAAAACATCATCATATCATAGATTTGCTAATTCATTCACTACAAATACAATAAAAATATTAAAATCCATATCATAAAAAGTTAGGTTTCGAAAAAGGGACACTTAAAATGGGACGGAAGAGTATTATTTATTTTATTGATAAATAAGATTTCATTTGAAGGCGCTCAAAAGGGGAGCGCACCCAAAGGAATACACAAGAATCCTAACCAGCCAACTATAATTTTAGACTACCAACAAAGTCTACAAAATCCCCATAGATTTACAATTACGCCCGCCTACAAAAATCCCCTATAGATTTGCAATCAGTCTCCTAATTATATATTATGAAGACTTCTCCATATTTAAGCCTCATTATTGGCATGTGCATTATAACAAAATACCCATAAATAAGTAGTCTCCAATAAATATCCCCTAAGATTTCAAAAACCGCAAATGTATCCAAATGTACATTGCGCACAGCCTGAGTTGGGAGCAGGACTCAGGGAAGTGTATATCGCTCAATTCATAACTGACTCATCATGACTCAGCTCGAGATACACAGATATGGCATGGCCCCAGATCATATGGCTAATTCATCGGCTTCAAGGCATGCGTACATGGCACAGCCCAGTGAGTGGTTTGGTGGTTGCGGTTAAGAGATCTTCAAGGTGGTCTCCTCCTGAGACCTTGCACATCTCAACCTATCTTAAAGAGAGAAATTTGACTCCCATGTCATGATGATTGTGACATCCTTATAAGCTAGAGTACTACTATACGAAATCAATGACCAGGGGGTTACACTCTTATGACAGAGGAGGCATCACATTGCCTTGCAGTGAATCTTATAATAAAAGGTTGTAACATCAACGGTCTCTAAGTCTACGATCAAAATCATCTACCCTATAGTCACAATGCCTCCTATTTGTTCCAAATAAACAGCCCCTGTTCACATAGAGGCATCTTATTAATTCAAAATAGAGGTGACGTGACGACCAGCAAAACCATCATGCCTGCATAAGCACCACCTTTATTTTCTCACGACCCTAAATAAACTATCCATTCTACAATCTACAGTTAAAAGATTCAGAACAAATGGGGGCAGACCTTGAACCATTCACATCCTAGCAGTTACACTTCGAACTTCTATCGTCATCAGTCATTATGTTGAGGAACCTTGCAGATGCATACAAGCCTTACAAGGCATTGACTCTGAGGAGTATTCTCACTTGACTACCATTAAATCTCTCTCTCACTATACACACAAACACTTGCATACACATATATTGAATTAGTTAGATAAGTGGTATCACCTCTACCTTCCAATATGGAAGGTGAGGCTTCAAGTCTCCGTGGGGACAAATGGGTGTGTGAGTTTCTTGCCAATGAAAAATAAAAATAACTGGGAAAAAAAAAAAAAATCGGAGTCCACACTAGTCTATCTCTTAATCAACAGCATAACCCACACTTGCTATGTGTAATGCAACAATAGCAAGTTCTAACAATAGATCAATGCTTTGTTTAGTACACAATTTGACAGTACCTTACTTGTCTAAAACAATGAAATTTAATAGTTAGACTGTACAAAACAGAGGGAAGGTTACACTGATTTGGAAACCGTCGGGGATGCATGTGTTGGATTCAAAACCCCATCGGAAGAATTCAATTTTCAACCAGGTAAAATGCCATTAAAATTCAAATGAAGAAAAAAGTTCCAAGCAGGTAAGCATATTATCCAACTAACTAAAAGCAAAAGTAAGTAAAATGAACGTATTTTGTAGAAGTGTGTTGACCTGAAGTTCCATGTACACTGTCAGCTTGCACGGCATCTTTTGACATTACATGAATCTTTACCATAGCTATCTCAAGCTACACAAAAGCCACATGAGAAAGTGAATTTTTAGTTCCAAACAGATATAAGCATCACAAAATAACCGACTGTGAAATAGAGTTTAACAGGACTCACCCTTTCAAAAAATTGAGATTTAATACCAAGGATATCATTTAATCCCCACTGAAAGGTAAATGTTTCATAATTTCCATAGGAAGGCAAACCCATCATATTGATGCAACTGCTGGAAAAAGTTAACACAGACTCTGTGTAATATCCATCACGATATACAACATAATCGGGACAAACAGCAACTGTCATATTTCTGTTCCCCTGCCAATCACAATGGAAACAATCACAACTCAAGGAATACCACTTCCCAGAGAAACAGAAAACAAGTAAAATACTAAAAGAAACATGCACAGTTCCAAGTTTTCGTTTCAAAGGTGAGTTCCAGTTAGCTAAAAATATTTTTATAACCCCAAGGAAACAGTGCAAAATGTTGAGAAAATCTTAAAATGTTTGAAAACCTAGAGTAGAGCTTAAATAGAAACAAAGCTAGCTGTGTCATGTTGTGTGTCTTTGGAGGATCATCATCTCAATGGATTCAACAAATAGCTTAACTATTTTGACATGAGACATAACATAAAGCTTTTCCCACGTGAAGTAACTAGAATATATATATATATATATATATATTGGGAGCCACGGGGTATCCCTCTTTACAAGTTTGATTCCTGCCAGTGTTGAGTATCCCAAACCCAATTGTAACACACCCCATTGCAATCCCTACTGTAGACCATCTGGTTAAATATGAAGCATTATGTAACGCATAAAGACATACATAACAGCATTGGAAGCCCCGTTCCTAGTACACCCCAAGTTATTGAGAAGGAAAAGATTCACATCCACAATATTTATTACCATTGGATGGCAGACTGTTACTGTTAGTTAATGGACTGTCAGAATCATTACGCTTCATTTCCATATTTCTGTTAATAAAAACTTAGCAACAATTATGACCAGCTCAAAACCCACATCTAGCTCAGCAGACTTCATTTAGCCATTCCTTCAAGTTGTCATATCTTCTAAGGGTCCAAATGCATATTCAAGGCTAGATATACTAGAATAAAAGATAACACAACCATTGATGTTAAAGGTGCACCTAGGCTCCAAAAAATCCCGAGGCTCATCAAGGCTCAGCTAGAGCGCCTCAGCCTCGTACAGACCAGGCCCCTTCAATCCGGCTCATGCATTTTAGTAGGTTCCAGGCCCAAAAAAAGCGCGCCTTTGGTTTTTTTAAAAGATTTATTCATACAATTTTTCTATTTTATCAAATCACTTCAAAATTAGAATGTTCTACACCATATCATGATCATACTTAAAGGATCATATTTTTCAACGTTATGAAATATTTGACAAAATCCATAAATATGTGGTTCGCTACTTATAATAATTGCATGCATATTCGTTATAATGTATGTTTAAAGTTTGCATAACTATAGTTTTTAATTGTTCCATATATAATCACATCTAATTTGGTTAACGCATATGCATATGAAATGATTTATGAGCTTTAATTTACCTGATCCTCTAAGTTGATATATCAAAAATCCCATTTTTATAGAATTTTTTATCATTTGTGTCATAATTTGAATTGTTCTGATTGTACGTTGATTTTATTGAATTCATATGCATATAGAAAGGTATGTGTATGTTGATTTAGCTAATTCATTGAATTGATATATTGAAAATATTCTTTATTTTGATATTGACAAGTATGTGTTCCAAAGTTTAATTATTCTTTATATACTTACAATTAATATGCATTATGATCACACACACACCCTACTTCGATCAGACTCGCGCTTTATATTGTGCCTTGTGCTTAGGCTCCAAAATAACTTTGGCGCCTTAGTGCACCTTGAGCGTTTAACAACTATCAACAAAACAAAATTTTAAGGTTCCTTTCTAAATTCCAAGCCATGGCAAATTGTGGGTGGTTCAACCATGAAGTATTTTATTTCTCTTCTTTAGGGGATTAGAGCATGAATAATGAATACTGAATAAATACACATAATTTTTTTTAAAATTGGTAAGATAACTAGGATCCATGTTATATTATATAGCCAATTTTGACACTTCGTTGTTATTTTATTCTCTCTTTTTTTTCAAATTACAAAACCAAATATATAAGGTATTTGAGTGCAATGATATAAGGTATCTTATTCTTTGTGGAGTCATTTTCTATTTATGTTTTTCCTAATTTAATTTTTAAATAATCTAAAAGAGTTTTTATAAAATTTTACTTATCAACAAAAAAAAAAAAAAAAAAAAATCTAAAAGAGTTTAGCAGTTGCTAAATTTAAAGTAGTACGAATCAAGTAGCAAACTCACATACATCGGGTACTTTTACATTATTTTTCTATTATCTGTTTTACAAATAAAAAAATTGTGTTTTTCACTTTTTCATTAGTATGGACTTAGTTTTAAACTTTCTTTAATGCGGTACTATAATAATGGACTAAATTACTAATTGTAATAATGTCACTTTAATTCCACCAACAAATATATTTTTTTTTTTCGGTAAGTAATCTACTAACAAATATTTGTCTTTTTTTTTCTCATTTATCAGTTAAAGACCTGTATTTACATTTTTAGTTATTACTTAAATTGGTATGATGGTTTTAATAATAGATGGTGCTTTGTTCTTAGTGTCAATTACACCAATACTAAATCTTATACAATAAATTAAACATCTTTCTAGGTGATATGAATTGAAAAAAGAATTTAAAACATTAAAATGTAACAAGCTCGAGCCAAAAATACGTGCATAATAACTTTTTAGGATTTACACTAACGAATTAAAAAAATTAACTGTATTGATAACTAATTCCATTCCTGTTACCCCTTGACTACACTCCAGGTACCAATATACTACAAACATTGCATAACCCAATGCTGCAATTTAAACCATGTCAATTCTTGAGCAACAGCTCCATGGTGCAATGTGTAAAAATTCCAACTTTTCTAAATTTTCCAAATTTATAGTTTTTAAATATAATTTAGATATCAATATGACAGCAAAACCTCAATTAATTAATTTAGACAAGTATTTAGTTAACCAAGTTAATGGTCATATAGTAGATATACAAAGTTATCTTTGCAACCCCTGAGATATTATTACGGCGAGGGATGAACAAAAATTCAGAGCTCTGATTCAAAATTCTCTCAATCATCCCCTCACGAGGAATTGCCAAAAGCGTTGTTTCTATCCACTACTATCTAAAAATTATCAAGTTATTAATGACAGGGTGAAACCAAGAAATAACCCCTCACGTGCGAAATTATAGAAGATCTCCTTTTAGATCAAACAATTCCACCGATATGAGTATGACAAACGCATTTTTGTTCACTAATGAATTCTGTAGATTTTGAACGACAAAAATTATTTCATTATCTAAAAACTAATTGATTTACACAAGTCCATTATCTTCTCCTTTTTTTCTCAATAGATATTTTATGTGCTGATTAGTCAACAGGTGAATCCAATAGGTAAAAATTGGGATGATCATTTAAAAAAAAAAATTTAATAATACTAAGCATTTTGCTCAACTTAGGGGGCTATTCCCTTGAGTCGTACTGATCAGAATTTGACTCCACGAGAAATTGAACGAAAAGCTGCTGAATTGGCCTATTTCTCCGTGCATCAATAAATTATTTTGAGAAATAAAAACGGAAGAATAAATGTTTTCTCAGCGGGAGGGAAAAACTCGAGAATCCTTTCTATAACACAAGTTAAATTCTTGAGATTGATAAATTTTACGAGAGCTTCAATGAGCATTACATCCTTTCAGAATTTTGAAGAGTTCCAATGAAGCTCTAGAATCAATGCATGTTTTCGCACAAACCATGCAGGGTTGGAACTACAAGGATATGTTTCAATTAGTGAATATTGAAACATATCCACTTGTCCACAAGAACATTTGGAAACTTTAAGCCATGTATCCTTGCATATATTTATGCCCACAAACTCTTTATATGACATTCACACAACATTTTTAACAACTATATAACATGACACTTCCAATAAATCAATTTTTGGTAGAAGTGGGACATTCTCAACTTCACTAAGCCAGACTAGCAAAATATGATCATGACCAGGGACAACCGGACAAGTAAAAAGGTTGAAAACAATCACGCAAAAGAAAATTGATAATTATCAATTAATGAGAGGGATAAGAAGTTTGATATAATACAATATTAAGTGCAAAATAGTGCCTTTCTGACTAAAAACACCGTAAAAGAAAATACTCTTCCATTCGCAGCATATAGATGATGGCATCAAACACATCCAAACACATAAATAACCCAAGTGAGATAACCAGATTACTCCCACTTATGTAGCCAAATGGAGAAAATTTATTAGTTACTGCAAAAAACATTGCTTGCAACAACGACTGACATACAGTAATTTAAAAGAAGCATAAAGAAGACACAGAAAAGGACATGATTGTTGTGAAACCAAATGTAGAGAGCATAGAATCATATGTGACATGTCTGAACTGAAGTTCTAACTAGTGACCTTCAATCATCCAAAATATTATTTACTCTAATTATTTAGAAAAAAACATCATTGATCCACTTGAAAAGAAAAGGCAGTAACTGTTATTACCGTTTTACAAACACCAAAATAAGGATCCGATGGCAGTCCAACCAACGAAACTGAAAATATGCAGCAAATATTATAAGCAGATCAAGGTGCATTTCGTAAAAGTCCAAATAAAACATGACAAGATAGAATAGTAACAATAACATTTTTTTCTTTTTTTCTTTTTTTTATGAGTAGTAACAAAAACAAATTTCGTGAGAGCATACCACCATTTTCTGAAATATCAGAAGAAGTTGATGGAGAACTCTCATTCAAACTTTCCCCAGCATCAGAAACTGCATCAACTGACACATCCTGCAATAGTTCCAGCTCAAATGAGCAAACCTAGATAAATATTTTCTGGATTCTAAACATAATATATAGGCAAGCTCAAGTACACTGGATGGGGACTCCAGAAGGGAACAATCTAATTGGTCGTTGCCAGGTAGAGCTGTTCCAGGGCTTGAAGCTCTTGTCTCCAACGGAGCAAAGACACTTATATCTTTGAGTTTGTGTGGAATGATATGAGGGTGTCCTTCATGGCTTGTGGAATTAAATTGCAGATCATCATCCAACACAGGCATTCCTTTGGTAGCACATTCCTCTCCTGCTTCCAGAGGGATACACGAAACAGCATCACGACAATCTTGATCATTCTCCATTACATCAACATCCATACATGGTACATCACCAACTACTTTTGACTTAATGTTAGCTCCACAGGCAACTGGAAACAATACCCATACATATGAGACACTGAAATAGTATGAAAATGTAATTTCCTGATTTTTTTTTCTTTCTTATTTTTTATTTTTTTACATAGAGCTTATAAAATGAAGCCAAAAAATTAATAAACAGGTGTCCAAAAACAAGAGACGTTTTAGAAGGAAGACCACTGAGCCTTAGCTAGTTAGCTCTAATGCATCTCCTCCTCCTACTACATGGTACATCCATGCATCCATACGTTGTACATCACCAACTTCTTTTGCGTTTTGACTGAATGTTAGTTCCGCAAGCAACTAGTAATATAAAAAATAATAATTAAAAAAAAGACAAGGAAACAGTATAAAAAGTCTTTTCAGTTTTTCTCTTTTTACATAAAACTAAAAAATGAAGCCAAAAAATAAGAATTACACAAAAACAAGCCATGTTTTATAAGGAAGATCACCAAGACTCATATCTAGTGGCATCTTCTCCTCCTACTCCTCCCTACTACTATATGGTACACACATACGTGTTACATCCATAGTCCATACATGGTACATCACCAATTCCTTTGACCAAATGCTAGATCCACAGGAAACTAGCACCCGCATAAAAAAAGGAAGTGAAGGCAGTACAAAAAAAGTAATTTCAGATTTTTTAAATTAAAAAAAAAAAAAAAAAAAAGAAGTTGACAGATTTAATAAGCAAGCAAAAAAAGACACATTTTAAAAGAAAGGCCACTCTAGTGGCATTTTTCCTCCTCCTACATGAGAGATTGAGGTTTGAAGTCCCCTTAGGGGCAATGGTGTGTATACAAGTATCTTAGCTATAAAAAATGAATTATTTCTAGAAGAAAGAATGAAAAAATAAGAAATCAGTTCATTTATCAAAATGAAGGTCTCATAATTTAGTATGTATTGCAAGGTTATGGGACTTTGGTTGGCAAATTTCTTACAAATCGGAGTCTGCACTTTTGACTTCAGATTTTATTTACGTTTTGAAAGTTAGTTAAGTTAGTCTCGATCAATCTATGTAAAGACATTTATTAACCCTAACTTTTCAGCCTCGAAGGACCTATTCTTTCAGAAAACTTATGCAAGCCTACTACATCAAGCATAGAAAGCATATATTGAGCAAATGAGCAGCATATATTTGTGAGGGAATTTTTTAGTACATCCTAGCAATCCAAATGGCTTTGTTTCTTTCATTCATATAGATGGTGAGTGTTCATGAGTGCTGAAAGATACAATTATAGAGCTTCAAGAATTTCAACGCCACATCAAGTTCCACGCAACAAACAAACAATCAGGCACTGCTGGTCATTGGACGGGTGAAGAGCGGATTGCATGGGGAGGGGATTCTTTGACTGGCAGCAGCAGAGATTGGATTGGATTGTCTAGCACGAGTATAAGTTAGACGTAACTGAGTGATTATTTTATAGGGTCTGGCAATCAGGTACCTGGTGTGATATATTTCTTTTGATAGTGGATTTGATCTAACCTGGACTAGGTCCCATAGTTTTTCTCCCGGGTGTTTTCATGTAAAAAATCAGTGTTCATGTGTTGTTTTATGCTTAATATTTATGCAATCTATCTATTCTTACATGGTTATCAGTTAACATTTTAATTTCAATTAATTGTGATAATTGAAAGTTGAAATTTGGTTAAAGTTCTTTAATCATTAAGTAAGACCTATTCGCCCCCTCTAGGTCAAGATTGCCCTTTGCGCTAATTCTAATTAGAGTCTAGGATTACGGTCCTTAGATTTCACCTATACTAACAGCCAGACAGCATGAGACTACAGCCTTAGCCAGACTGGATGGCGAATCAGGATCCATGTAGCCGGCTCCACATAGTTAATAAAATGCTTTGTTGAGCTAACTTAATCCATACAGCATAATAGAAATCTTGAGACTGAACTGCCCATGTCATGACTTGGCTGCTGCCACAATCGCATGGCCCAGAACATAGCACGCAATTGGACGATAGAGCTGACAAAATGATCTACCAAACTCAATCTCGTTCAACAGGAATAACTCACATTTCGCTATTTAAAAATAAAATAAAATAATAATAATAAGAAGAAATAAGAAATAAGAAAACCAAAAATCAGATTGCTTATGGAGATGGTTGCCTTTATTCATATAATGTTACTCGGGGGATAAGGCTAATCATCTGCTTCTCACGTTCCGTGAATTCGTTTGTGGAAAACTCCCTTGGAGAAGTCCCATGAAGGAAGGGAAGCTCTCCAGCACTCAGAACATGCCGAGCTGTTTTACCGAGAAGGTCTACAGTTCGAGTCTGTACTATCTTTGGGATCTGATCCTACACCACTGCTCAATACCTTAGTGGATCTTCTTGTTCCAAGTAGCGTTTTCTATATTTTAATGGGTTGTTCGACTCCCAAGCCCCATCCATATGAATGGAAATTCAGGAGAATGAGAAAGAATGAAGTCAAGCTTGAGGATAAAAGTCTTCTTTCCTGGTGATTTTTTTGATAGTCGTCAGTTAAAAGGAACCATTTTTGCAATTTTCGCTATAGCTATTGCAGCCACTGAAGCAGCTATTGGACTGGCTATTGTTTTGTCAAAAGCATTGATCATAAGTAAGAAAAAGAACATATATAGATTGGTATGAAAGGGTTGAAGATATGGAGAAAGGTGGGCCGCAACAAAACATTAACAAAGGAGACTAACAGATAAATACATATTATATTATTAATATGCACGGAGAAAGATGAGCTGCAATTAGTCATTAACAGAGGAGTATGGTGATGCAAGCATTTAAAAAATAATTAAGGTCTTAACTGTCTGTGTACTTTGACAACGGGTAGCATCTCAATGTAGTAATTAGTAATGAAAACTGAGAACTTCCACCTATTTAGACCATGAGCTTAGTTGTCCAATTATGTTATTTCTCAATACATAGAGTGCCGTTTACTAAGAAATGGAGATTGCAGCAATGATACTCAATTTGGGCCAACAATCCAACCCAAAGGAACTCCGAAAATATTGTCTTTCCTTAAGGCAGGACAGTTGCAAATAAAAAATCAAAAAATACAATTCTAGGGTAAAGGTCAATAAAACAATGCTCTAAAATAGGTAAATAAAGATAAGCAGAGGAAATTCCTGGTTAAAGGTAATTTGTCAAAATGGCCTAGATGGTCAGCTCAGATGGCCGCTGTCAAATTCTTCCTATACGATTGGACATCTCATTCAAAGACAAGAAACCCCATTTAACTACCCTGGCAGTATCACAAAGGGAAAGATAGATACTAGACTGAAATTATGCTATCTCCTCCTAGAAAACAAAGCCTGTAGGTACAAAACATGAATTCATGAGTGCAAGAACTCCAAGTACCATTTCTGGCAATTTTTAACTATGACAAATTGTATTCAAGCATTAGCATGCAATGCCAAATGTTCAGCCTCAAATACGTGAATCAGAACAAACCATAAAGACCCCCACTTGTACATCACCAGTCAATCAAACCATTGTTACTATAGTATAAATAAAAGCATACCCAGTTCAATATATTCAACATTTTGGTATTAGCCGATATAAACCCTAAATTAAACCTATGTTGAGACGCACAAATGCATCAATTCAACAACAAATTTTCAATTCCAGAAATCGCCCAAATAAACACTGGCTGATCCAACACATTAATAGAAAAATAAAAACACTTTAATATCTGACATGCAAACTTTTACCTTTTTCGAGGAAAGCATACTTGTCGAGAGCAACAGGGTCTTTGGATTTGAAATGAAACCTATCGGAGATTTCTGAGGGAAGCTCATCCTCTTCTTTGAAATCGAAAACATCGAACCTTTTACAAGTGCTACTCATTGTACATACAAAAGGACGACAAGAACGCAGAGATAAGAGGCCGAGAAGCTCACGATAGAATACTTTTGGCGATGGATTTAGGGTTTTGTGAAGGTAACCATTCCAGGAGTGGCGAAAATTCTGAGAGTGAATTAGGGTTTATATCTGCAAGAGAAAAGGGTGTTTGATGTTTTCGGACAGCGATTGATAATAAATATATAGGATCGAAAAGGAAGAGAGGATCGTCAGACGAGAGATTCAGAGGATTGTTGGATTTTCGAGCGCGTGGATTTTGACTCCCTTTTGAATGAAGAAGGCCACACCGTACGTAAAGTAAGCGTCGAGGAAGTGCGAGGAGGTGGAATGGTAACCCACTTGCGGCGAGGGCGCGTGAAAACATTCAATGATTTTTGTTTTGCCGATGGAGTATTTTTGTTATTATTATTATTTTCCCTCTTTATAAGGCACCTAAAAAATGAGTATTTTTTTAATATTAAAAAAGGACTAGTATTCCCCTGATATCTTAACAAGCAGGAGTTCTCTTTTTACAATTAAGGGCTAGGGATGGCAATTTCCTCCAATTCACTGGGTTTTCGCCCGGTTCCGCTCCTAATGATTCGGATTTAGTATCTCTATAAGTGGGTTTGGGACGGATATGGTAAAAGAATTGAAAACTCGAAGCGGGTTTGGGGCGGGGGCGAATTTAGTGATACCCCACCCCACCCCCCGCCCCGACCCCGATTGTATATATATATATATAACGTATATATTTAATTTAAGTGTCCATTAATATATTTTGACTAAATATTCATTAGAATCACTATTTACTAAAATTCTACAATTGTGCATGTGATTCAATCTTCAAAGATTCAAGATCTCAGTATTCTATTCCAAGTCCAGGAATTAATTCAACAGTTTCAACTTTACCGCAATTAAATGGAGTATGCGGGACGGAGTCGGTATTTTGTCTACCGGAGTAGGGGCGGGGATAGTATACCAATTATAAACCCGTTCCGGAGTTGGAGCGGAGTTGGTATGATGAATTCTTTAATGGGGTGGAGTAGGGTTTAGCCAATTCCACCCCAACTCCGCCCCGTTGCCATCCCTATTAAGGAGGCAAGTAAGCCCATTTGTTAATGGCATTCAATGAGCTTTAATAGCACTATAAATTTAAGTACCCTCGTAGAATGAAGAAAACAAAAGTATGGTTGACGACAAATCAGATCGATTTGGTTTGAGGGTAAAGTTTAATCTAATTCGGTCTTCACATATTGGTGAAATTTAAAACCGAACCGATCTGTTAGGACCTTCAATCTAAACCCAACCAATATGTGAAATAACGGATTAAATCGGTTCGGTCTTTACGGATTGGACTTTTCAAACAGCCCAATATGATTACACTTTATGGCTCATTAAAATATCAAATTAGTAATTAAAAATCTGTCATTAACTTTTTAACATATACACCACAAACTTAAATTACCTAATAACAAAATAAAGTTGTAAGTCATCCAAAAGTGAAAAAGTCTTAAATAATCAATATGATAAATTACACTGACCTCCCCTGAGGTTTCGTCATTATACACATACCTCCCCTCTTGTTTATCAAATTACACTGGCCTCCCCTGTCAATGGATGCCGTTAACGGAAAGAGTAAAATTACTAACTTACCCTTATTTATTTATTATAAAAAATATAAAATATCATGGATGTAAATTACCAATAGTACCCTTTTAAAGATTTTTTTTCCCTTCTCCTTTCCCACGGCCTTGCCACTGCAGACAATCCCCCTCTCTCTCTCCTCTGTCCCCGACGTATTTGTTATTAGAAGAATTTGATGTTAATGATTGGTTTCAGACTACTCAACCTTCTTTTGCATTTTGACAAGAAGAAGTTTGATTATCTGTCAATGTTCAACAAAATGAATAAAGCAATCTAGTTTTTCATTAAATTTTTGTTGTGTAAATAATGTTTTTGTTTGATCTGTTGGAAAGACAGAACATGACTAGGAAACATATTTATTGTGTTAATTAATGTTATGTGCTTGGTTCTTTTATGTATGTGAGTATGCACTTTTGATGCTGACATCTCTGTTTTGTAGTATAACCAGATGTTCTAAGGTGAGAATCTTGAACATAACAAAAATCTATTTGAGTGGGCATTGGCCTGGGTCTATCACCAAGGAAACGACATTTGTCTAATGCCAGGTACTACAAAGATTGAGAACTTCAAGCAGAACATTTTCACATCTAGGTTCTCCGAGGCTATCATCGTCGGTGATTCGTAACAGCCGTTCCGAGCTCACCTAGCCATCGCCACCTCCAATCCATAACCCAAAACGATCCGGGCGACGTACCCTGATTTGCCCTTCGCAGTCGCCATGTGTATATATATAGATAAATATATGCGCGCGTGTGTGTGTGTGTGTGTGGATAGATAGATAGATATATATATGTGTGTGTGTGTATATGTATATAGATATATATATGTGTGTGTGTGTGTGTGTGTATAGACGAGATTGATGTGTGTGTCTGTATATATATAGATAAATATATATGTGTGTGTAATTAAATATGGATGAGATTGATGGGTGGAGTTAATGGGTGAATTAGTTGATGGGAGGAGGAGGAAGAAGAAGAGGAAAGGTTAATGTCGGGTTAGTTTCCGTTGGTTTCACAAGTAAATTTAGTGGCTACAGTTTAGACCCATTGGGTGTTGATGTGAGGTTAATGTCTCGGTTTGTTGATATGAGGGCACCATTATCCTTTTGAGTTTATAAGTGAAGGATGGTATTGTAAATTTGCAGTGATTATTGAGGTTAAAAATGTCATTTAAGGTATTAAAAGGGTAAATTTGTCTTTGTACTGATTTTTTTTTATGGACATAAGCATAAACCATTAGTTATTTAACGGCAGGGGAGGTCCGTGTTATCAGTATATAAACTTCGAGGGAGGTCAGTATTATTTGGCAAACAAGATGGGAGGTCAGTATATAATGACGAAACCTCAGGGGATGTCAGTGTAATTTACCCTAATTAATAATAATAATAAAAAGAAATACGGTAAGTATATTGTGTGTGTGCATATGTATATAGTTATATTTACATATAATATATTAATATATAATTTTGGTAACTGATCGGATCGGTTCGATTAACATATCAGATCGGTTTTTGTATGGCCCAATCTGTTAACTGAACCGCGAATAGCGGATTGCTATTTTTCTAAACCATGAGATCTGAAAATCGAACCGAACCAGGTGGATCAGATTGGTTCTAACCGAATTGACAGATTATTTGCTCACCCCTAAAAAACATCAAAATGCAGCAAACTTCCCTGACCTGTTATGGTTTAGCAACAAAAGAACAAAAAAATTTGAGCCATTAATTTGATAAGAGGAGTGCTAGAGGCACTTTCCTATTTTGTAATTTCCTATTTTGTAATCCCAGCAGCTGTGAGTGTAGGTAAGTATTGTCCAATAATTATATGTGCATTTAATTTACATTAATATATAATCATGTACGTGGTTGAAAATATTTTAATTATTAGATAAAGTATAATGTAAAATATATAATGTTTCTATTATGAATTATTTGCTTTGATAAGCATTGTTTACTAGACAATACTTACCTACTCAGTACTCACCGATGAGTACGTGCTCTTTTATGATTTGATGCAATCCAATTACAAATATATATAATTATTTTTAATTACAAAATAAGGAAATTAATAGATAAGGAAAACAGTGAGTGAGGTGAATGCATAATGTGATTTAGTAGATTTATCATAATGAAATTGTTTTCCTTATTACTTTTTGGGATAATTTCACTGACACCCCCTCAAGTTTGGCCAAATATCACCCTTAAACATCTTTCGAAAATAACTATAACTTGGGTCCATTTTACCTTTTTCATTACAGTTTCCGTTAATAGCATAGGAAAATACAACTTTGCTCCCTATTTTTTAATCTCAATTTATTCTAAAATATCATCTTACTCAAATAACTCTTATACCCCTCATTATCATACCCATCTATCACCACTACTCCGCCCATACATACCTTTTCTTTCTCTTTCCTCTAATACATTATTGGCTGCATCTCGATTTTCAGATCAACACCCTCTCTTCTCTACAAATCAACACCGGCATGTCTTTACAGATCAACGCCAAAACCCTAGATCCATAGTTCCAGAGTCCATCCGCATACATCACTGATCAAACCTATATACCTTCCATCCAACTTCGTATGATGAAGGCCATTTCAGGCTTTCTCAGAGACGTTTCCTCATCGATCAAGCCTTTGTCAGCTTAATAAGGAAGGTTTGATGTTGTGAACAGAGGCAAGGAAGGTGTTGTCAGCAGAGGCTAGGACTTTCTTTGTGTTTACATGTTATTGTTATGGTATTTGCATCATTGGCAACCTACTTCACCACATTCCTCTTCCTCTGCCCGCTGGGCATTCACCGCCTCACTTGCACTTCCTCTCTCTACCTCAAAAACCCATCTTTTTACAGATGAATGTTAGGGGAATTTACCCTTATTTGTGCCATTTGTTGTTTGTATCTGTCAATCAAGCCATTGGCCTTTTCCGCGAGTTTTTGCTAGATTAGGGTTTTTTTTTTTTTTTTTTTTTTTTTTCCTTAGTTGATTAGAGTTAATTAACCCAAATTAGGTTATTTATAGGGTTAATTGATCCGGATTTTTTTCTTGGATTAGGGTTAATTAACCATCATTTTCAATCTGTTTACCGATTTTTTTTTTCCTGCGTTAGGATGCTTTCAGATTTATATGTAATCACTTTATTGGGATTTTTTTTTTCACATATATGGGCTTTAGCAATCACAGGTTTAAAAATAAATTTGTAATTACATGTTAAAAATATTATTACAATTCACTTGCATTTTTACACTTCAAATCAACAATTACAAAGGAATTACTAATTACACTGCAACATTTTTACTCTTCAATTACGCTAACGAGGTCTACTTTTTTATTATTTTAAAGCCAATGAGGTTACTTTCTTAATTTATTCTAATGGAACAATAAGGGAAAAAATGTCAAATTCCAAAAAAAAAAATAATAAGGGTAAAAATGTCAGTTTAATAATTAAACTACACTTTATTTAGTCAAATCGATTGAAGTCGAAGGGTAAATATGTCTTTTTATATGAAAAAGTTGTCTGACACCTCTGAAAAGTAACGGTTGGGGTGTGAGTGAAAAATGGAGCAAAAGTTTGTAATGTAAGTGATAGTTATTTTCGAAAGATGTTTGAGGATGATATTTGGCTAAACCTGAGGGGTTTCAATAAATTATCCCATA